TCTCTGTCGCAAGTTTTAGTCCGTGCTGCGTCATCCATTTCTTTACGACGCCACCTGCGTTCCGAACCCGGTATTTGAGATCTGGCTCATCCCGGGCTACTACCAGTACAGCGAGGTCATCCGCGAATGCGAAGGGGGTTGTACCCTCTCCGTATTCACAGTGCATAACCCCGTCATATGCCAGATTCCATAGCGTCGGGCCCAAGACAGATCCCTGGGGTACCCCGGCCGTCACGTCCACGATCGTGCCTTTTTCCACCATAATCCTTCTCTCGGACAGATACTCCGCCATAACATTCATCAGGTAACCAGGACATTCTCTCTCCTCCATTGCCTTCATTACCTCGTTCCACTGCAGCGTATTGAATGCATTCTTAACATCAAACAACAGCAGGGCCGCCCAGCGATGTTCATTCCCTCTGTTGTGCAATGTTTCGAGTACACTCATAATTGCATCAATCGTGTTTTTCCCTTTACAAAAACCAAATTGCCTCCGAGATAAACCACCTGACCTCTCAATCATCTCGTCTATGCGTACTCGTAGCATCCTTTCATAGAGCTTACTGATGCATGGAAGAAGACAGATGGGGCGATACTTTTCCCTACCTTTGGGAAGCAGTATTAACCTCGATGTCCTCCAAGGCTCAGGAAAGGTTTGTGCTTCCAGCAATGCATTCATGTGTTCCAGAAGCCACGCAGGCTCCACCCGTCCTAGACCCTTTACCGCCTCAGGTGGTATCTGATCCAGTCCGGGGGACCTACGAGTCTTGAGTGAACCCAATGCCTCGACAAGTTTATCCATGGTAAAGGGTACAGCCCGCTCAGCTCCTTCATCCCTCCATACACCATGACATCTGCCGTCCGGAAAGAGCTCTCTTGTTACCTCAAGCTTCTTGTCCATAGGCATTTCATAAGGAGGATACGCATGGAACTTTTTCATAACGATCTTGTATCCCTGACCCCATATGTCCTCATCCAGTTTTTCACACAGCTCTTTCCAGTGCCTTCTTTTTTCTGTACGAATTTTCCTGTACAGTTCCCTCTTCCTTGCGCGGTACTCTTCCTCGATCTCCTCGATGACCTCAGGATTGATTCCTGCTCTGCCTCTTGCTCTTGTTAATCTTCTTCTCATTGCTATACATACATTTCTTAGTGCCTCGATGTCTGCATTCCACCAATATGGCATCTTGTTGACATCTTGGCGACCAATCTTGCTTCCTTCCATCGCTTCTTTGATGACTCTCTCCAGGCTTTCCACCGTCGGTGATTGACCCTCCATTATGCTTACTCTCCATTTAATTAGCTCCTCGTATACTTTCCAGTCATTCACATCGCCGCATCTGCCCCCAGACGTCCCGGATGCACGGACCGTGTTAGTGGTCCCCGTTCCAGTTATCGAGAACTCGATGTATTGATGTTCAGTTCCGGTGTAGTCTGGCAAAACCTTCCAGCCTCTTGCTTTCGCCGCTATTCCTTGTGTCGCCATGGTCACGTCGATGTATGTACCTGTACCTCTCCTAACAAACGTAGGTTCCAGACCTGTGTTCAGAACCACTAGGTCTAGAGTACCCACCCAGTCAGTTAGTATCCTGCCGCGAGTATCGGTGATGGGAGATCCCCACTCCGCTGCTTTTGCGTTAAAATCTCCCAGCACTACGTATTCTCCTCCTGTGTTTACCACTTCCTGCATGATCTCATCTATCTTCATCTCGTACTCACCCACCGTCACGTTTGGAGAAATATAACAGCAGACCAGCCGCACCCCCTCCATCTGAACAATCACATATCCTTCTTTCGGCTTAATTTCATACACTCTCAGCTTCCTATTGTAGATTCGTACAGCAGCCCTCCCGGTCGTATCTACAAACCATCCTCTTCTCTTCACTGCTGTTGGATTTGGTTCTGCCGTCACCAGTATATCGATGTTCTTTTCTACCGCGGCAGCCTCAGCAAGATCGTGTGCTAATCTTGCCGTTCCAACATTAGTTTGTAGCACCCTCAGCTCTAGAGTCTTGTTTTCTTTATTTGCCATTTCTAAACCTTCGACTTCTTTCGCGCTCTCTTTTACACTCTCGTACTCTTCTTGGGATTAGTCCTTAGTGGTTCCTATTTTCAACCAGTCGGTTGAACTTTGGACATATTCTTGAATTCGCCACATGTCCATTCACGTCACAGTTGAGGCATCTGGTTGTTTCTTCCTTGCAATCCAGCGCTATGTGACCCTCTTTGCCACATCGGAAGCAACATCCTCTTCTGTTCTGCCCCTTGCATTGCCATTGTTTGTGTCCAAAGGCAAGACATCTCAGGCATCTCGGTATTTCTACCCTTGATTTTATCACTCGGCAGGATGTGTAGTCTACTTTTATTCTTTTCATTTTCAAGATCTTTTCGGCAGCGTCTTCATCCACATCGATCACGGCACTCATCATCCCTCTTACTGCGCCTCGTGTCTCAGTCCAAATTTTTATAATGTCACAGGCCCGCTCTTTGCCAGCTGCTTCCTCAGTGGCCTTTTGGATCTCTTCCTTCGTTGTATTAGGAGGAATTTCCTGTACCAAGATTCTACTCTTCACGATGCCTCCTTTTGCAACTGTTCTCGATACGCATGTATTATCAGAGAGGAGTTTCTTCACTTCCTCCGCCATTTCCCGTCCTCCGACCAACTCCAGTGATATTCCTTGGTCTCTAGTTTGTCTGATCCTTTTAATGTCAATGTCCTTTCTTCCTGTTAGTTTGTTTTTTACTTCTGTCATTAGATCCACAAACGATTTTTCTTTGGATTTATTGATGATTACGACTCCATTTTGTTCTTTGGACTTGGTGTTGATGTTGGTCCACTTTCTTGTTGTTTTTTTACCTAGGAGCGTGATCGTTACATCTCTTCCTCTTGCAGCCCACTCAATAATTTTTCTCGATGTCTCAACTCCCAGTGCTGCCGGTGTGTAGATTCCCAAGTTTTCTCTTCCCAGCTCCTCCATCTTCTGTACCAGTTTCCTGCATGTTTTCAGGAACTTCACCGGTATAGGTTCTTCCTTTTTGTTTGGAAGAAGTTTAAATCCATACTTCTCCTTGTGGATCCACGTTCCATCTTTATGAGCAGACATCGTGACTCTCATAGTTCCCAGGCCGCCCTCCTCGTCCACTTCCGCTGGAGCACCTGGTAGCTGCGGAAATATAGCTTTGGTCTTTTCCATAGCTTTGTTGTCCTCGTCATTGTTGGTGACAAAGACTGCCACATCTCCTGTTATTTCTGAGATGTCTCCTTCTTTCACTATAGTCCTAGCGAAGACCTCCTCTGGCCAGTCTTCATTTAAAAACTCTATCGTTTCCTTCTCTTCCTTACATGTTGTCATCTTGTTCGTGATAGCGTCTACCCTTCGTTTAATGGCCTCAGGATTTTCTAGGTCCACTTGAACCCCCATTGTCGCCAACTTCTTAACTTTTAAGGGTTCCATGTTGATCTGCACACCTGTAGATGTCATGCACACAGACTTCCTTGGAGCCTCTTCTTCTTTATTTTCCTCCACTTCCTCGATATAATCGAGCATCCGATTTCTCAGGATGTCGACCTCCCTCTTTATGGATAGCCTTGTATTTGGCACCTTTCTCATAAGTTTCTCGAGTTCCGCTACGCTGTCCTGGAGACGTTCCAACTTTGATCTAGTTTTGTAGTTCAGTGGCTGCCTCTCTTCCTCCGAATCGGACGTTTCTGTCCTATTGTTTGGTTTTCTTTTTCTTGACCTCCTTTTTTTCCATTCGTCATCAAAGCTGCTTCTGTTGTCCGAGCTGCTTGCTTCTTCGTCTTCCTTTCTTTCGTTTTCTTTCCTTAGAATCTCCTCCCTTATTATATTTTTTCCTTCCTTTTGCCTCTTTTCTCCTTCTTCTTTCTCTCTTTCTCCTCCTTTTATTTCTTCCTCTCTATTGGTTTGCTGGTTCTCCCTTTCTTCCCTACCCTTCCCGCTATTTCTGCTTACTCTTTTTTTATCTACAATTTCTTCCACTTCTTTTCTCCAGCTTTTCTTTCCTTGAGTTTCATCCTTCTCTTTCACTTCTCGTCTTCTACTTTCTCCTTCATCTCCGCTACTCCCTCTTCCTTCTTTTTTATTTTTCTTTTTTCTTCTCATCTTTCTTCCCACGAGTTGGGTCGTGTTGATCGGTCCAGTGGGGCAGTGCGCCCTTACCCCACCAAGGCTATTTTCCCCTCAGGTTCGCCACCTCCCTTGGGCATCGCTTGTAGCCCACTTTGTTACCCCTGGGCCATGCACCTCTTTGGCACGATGGTGTTACACCTTGAGGTTGGGGAGGCGGTATATTAGGATTATGCATAGCCGCCTGCCCTATGCATATCCGTTTGTATGTATCTGGATATTAAGAATCTAAATCATAAAAAGTGTTAGTGACTTTAAATTTGGTGGATGGCCGAAGATGAGCCTGGGTGACCAGTCCAGGCTCATCTGCGCTCATTCTACTATAGTATGGGTTTTATTATATGGGAAGAAATGAAGATTTTTATTAAAGAAATGTGTTTGATTATATTGAAGGAAATGGAGATGTTTATTAAAGAAATGTGTTTGGATAATTTGGAAAAAGACGCAGCACTTGTGACTGTTTGCTGTGCCTTGTAGTGTCCAGCGGCGGGGTCCAGCGCTCACCCGGTGCACAGACGCTGGACGTTAATTGGGTTGTACTTAGCTTTATCGGTCGTGCTCCCCGGGATATATCCCACAATAGAGGGACCAAGACTGATTACTAGCTTCTTTCACCACGACGAGGTTATTTTACAGCCCATCTCATTTTGATCAAAATTTCCTCGGTGCCATTGCTTCTTGGATTTCAATACTTCAAACTTCTATTTGGAAGTCCTTGTTTTATTTTTCTAAGTATCTGTCAATCCCTGGAGATGTTGATACCACCACATAAGCTTCACAATGTTGGCAATAGACTCTTCAGGACCATCTACTTTGAGTAGTTTTTCTTTATCACACGGATTATGGAAATACTCATAACAAGGCTGGTTTTATTCTGGATAAAACTTCTAGACTTCTTTCAGGATCTTTGCCAGTGTGGCATATAATAGTTTGTTTACAAACGGTCCATATAAGCCTGCATATAAACATATCGGTTTGCATTAGTATACCTGTAGGATATCCGGGCAAATTACTAAATTTAGTAAATCCTTTACCATGTATTGTTTTTTGTGATGGATTTGGTTTATTATCGTATTCTCTACAATGAGTACCACGTTTTCTGATAAAACTATATCATATGTACACATTTTTACACCTAGACTGTAATTTATTCCCTGGATATTCATGAAAGAAGTAAATTATATGTAATTCAGCTACTTCGATGTCATATGGAAAAGCGCCAGGATATGGAGACATCATTTATCTACTTGGATATGCAGGACCAGGACAATTGTTTTGTTGTTCTATGAATCGTGGCTTAAATGTACAGGAGTCTGTATGTATTATGATCTATTTTTGAAAACAACGTATCGTCTTTAGATGATGAGTTTTTAGCCATCGTAGGTTCGTAGTCGTAGGGATCGTCTATACATTTCGTCAAACTATTTTTCTTCTTATTAGTTTTATCGGATTTTGGTGTATATTTGCTAATTTTAAAACGTTTACCAACCTGTTTGTATTTGTACAAAGATTTTCTTTCTGTGTTTTTAAATATTAGAGTTTTCGTTTAGTATCATTTGGAATTGCGGCACTATAAGCTTGCCAAAAACAGGACATCCTGATGTATAAATCTATTGGGAGATGTTATATAAATTAGTCCCTTAAGAATTATGTAGTGAAAACAGTTATAGTTGCATCGTCAATTAAAATCAGTTTTACAGACATCAAACATCGAGGGGAGCATTATCTAAAAAATTGAATGGTACACATTTTTCATCAAAATTATCATTATTGTTGTCGTATTTTGGATCAAAAAGTCGTATTATCCATAAAAAACTGTAACCAAATTAGATTTTCTGTTGCTATTTTGTCCATTTCCTTAACCAAATTTAAAATTTTAATGTATATATGAGATAACGGAAATTTTCATATATTGTCATTTTGACAGTTGTGTTATATAAATAATCAACTGGATACATTTTCATGAAAAAAGTACTTGGGGACACCGTAGACAAACCCACAAACTTGCACATATACAAAACATAATTAAAATATTCATAAGTATTTGTCAAAAACACTATAATCTCGGTTTTTATCTTACCGTTGATAATTAGTTAGTGTCATTGCCTGATGTGCTTTCGACGTGGGAATAATTTCGTCTTCACTTAAATTAGTTGTACTGGAAATAAATTATTTAAACACATTAGCAATAAAGTTTGTTGCACTACTAATTTCTACATCTGACTGCATCCAATTATGTGGTACGTAACGTCTTTTTGTAAGTCGTTATAGAAATATCCAATTTATTCAGATCTTCTTCAGCTTGCTATTATTCATAATCTATTAAATAATGAAAAGTGATTTTCTGTTGCTATTTTGTTCATTTTTACCGTAAAAATTGGATATTTATGAGATCTTAACGGAAAATTTGGATATACAAACTAAACGTCATAATGACATTTGGATTCAAGTGGACTGGATGGTTTTGTTTCTAAGGCAGGTTCACGAAGACCAGGAAGGTGTGTAATAATGTTCTGTGCACGAATTTTTGATGGGGCCGGAGCATTTTTAGCCCACTTATATCTGTTCCGTCCATAGTAAAAATTTGTTTCATTATTAGATGCTGTTTCACATTCGTCGCTTGATAAGTCACTTACGTCAATTTCTGAATCTGTGTCGTGAACCGAATGTTTACTTTCAGTGTCAGTATCACTGTTATTAGAGTCACTATAAGTGTCAATATTTTCGGTTGGTTCCTCCAGAGATTCGAGAAAGTCAAAAACATTTTCACTTGTCACCGTACTTCCGCTAATTCTTAAAGCCATTTTAATGTATTATCTTAAATAATAATAACGTAACTATTATGGTGGAGTCAAATCCGACCGGAACTCAGCAGCACGTGTGCACTATCCCACTGATCGTTTGCTACTAAGCGGCATGCTAAACTACGTACTTAATTGGGAGAATACATAGAATAACAAGGTCGTTCGCCAAACTGTCTACCAGTAGCGCACGAAATTTCAAGTCCTGGGGTCAAATTTGACCCCACGATAGTAGTTCAGGGTTAATTGTGTTACCTAGTAGTTTAATCAATTAAGTTTTGAAAAATGGAACCTTCCACATCTGGAGCATCAGAAAGAAAACGTGTTGTTTTGTCAATTGAAAAAAATAGAAATTATTGCAGAACTCAAGGAAGGTGTTTCTGCTGTCGCATTCAGCAAAAAATATGATGTTCCGAGAACAATCAATGCTTTAAATAAAAATGCTGAAGGAATTGAAAAGTATGCTTCGCATATGGAATCGTTGGATGAAACATCGTACGACAATGAAAAAAGCCACAAATGAATCACTCAACACGGCTTTGTATTTGTGGTTCGTTCAAAAAAGAAGCGAAGGTGTTCCTTTGTCTGGGCCAATTGATGTCGAAAAAGCGTTGTTTTTCAACATGAAATTGAATGGCGATCCTTCATTCAAAGGAAGCAATGGTTGGTTGGAAAAGTTCGAAAATCGCCACGGTATATGGGAACTGAAAATCTAACGTGAAAAATTGAGCGCTGCAAGTATTGACGTCGTTGACGAATTCATATAAAAGAAAGTTTCAAGGTATGATAGATGAATACGGTTTGACACGTGATCAAGTGTTCAATGCGGATGAAACTGGTTTAAACTACAAATCATTGCAAAAAAAAAAAAAAAAAATTCGCTGTCTGACTGTCGCCACTGTCTGAAAAATATGCACCCGGATTTAAAACACAAAAGAAACGAATCACAGCAAAGATGTGTTCAAATGCAAGTGGTGACCATCGACTTCCTTTATTATTGATTGGTACAGCAAAAAAAATAAGTTGTTTAAAAGGCATAAATATGAACGCGTTTTCCGTTAACTACTACGCACAACATAATGTATGGATGTCCCAGGAAATATTCGCTGACTAGTTCAAAAATGTATGTACTGCATACCAAAAGTCGTGCAGAACGTTTTATTCTTTAGAATTTTATACCAGACAATCGACAATACTTGAAAGCAAAAAATTTGCCACCAAAGGCGATTCTCATTTTGGACAAATGCACCTGCATATCCTGAAGCCGGTATGCTGCAAAATGACGATGGAAATATCAGATGCTCTTTTCTGCCTGCGAATACAAACATTCTTGATACAGCCAGTGGATCAATCGGCCATTGAAACATTTAAAAGAAGATACAGAAAAAATTTTTTTCAAAACCTAGTTATCGAAGAGGAATATTCTTTGCCAGAATACTGAAAAGCATACAATTTAAAATACGCTGTCAACAATGCTGTGGATGTTAGGGGTGCTGTTTCGGAAGTAACGCTGAAAAGAGCGTAGCATAAATTATGGCCTAAATCAACTCAAGATGAAAATGCCCCCGTAACAGCCGAGCGTGATGCGGTAACAAATGAAGTTATGGCTGAATCAACTGTTTTGTTATCGTTTCCTAAAGATGACATAAACGAATGGTTAATTTGTGATTGTGGTGAGGACGCAAATGGCTATCGATTGCTGACAGATGATGAAATCGTTGAAATGGCAACAGAGGCGGGCGAAACTGATTCAGAAGCTGACACAGACCAGAGAACATACGAACACAGCGTTCGTAGTTCTCTGCACAGACGTTGACAGTGGCGATGTTGATATGCTACTGCAATGCAACTCACACACAAAGATTTGCGTAAAGAAGCTATTTACTTAACCGCACTGTTGCCATGCCACTTTTTTAACGTAAGTTTCGAAATTTTAAATATCTGAAAAATTATCGATTTCATGTAAGAATCTTATAGAGACATTTGATGGTGCTAAAACGTATATGAGGGGTATTATAGCTGATTACACATCTGTGAAGACGTCTAGCTGATTTTGCTTTGTTTTTTTAAAGAATAAAAGTTAAAAACAATTTTTTTTGTTGATAAAATGTTTCTTATACATTTCAGGGAAAAGTATTTCAAATAAAAGTTGTAGATTTTGAAAAGTCCTTTCTCTGCAAAACTTTCAAATTAAAATTCACAAACATTTGACCGAAATAATTTTAAAAATCCTTATTTTTACTTTTCTGTTTAACAAAGCAAAATTAGCTGTAGTTTATTAGTTCTCCACGGATTTGTCCTCAGCTACCCCTTTTCGTTTTTTTCTTAAGGTGCCATGCATTTCTGCGTAGACGTTCACCGTACATTGTCTTGTTTAGTCAGGAATAAATTATTCTATTTTTAGTTGCATTGAGTGACATTTCATAACTGTGGATTCTATTGGCGAATATTACGCAGTCATGACATCTTTTTACGTCGTATACCGCTATTACCCTCTACCTTTCGTGACAGTAATAGTTGCAGAAAAGCGTATCATTCAACTCGTAATATATTCTATAAATATGCAGTATTCTAATTTTGTATATAATCAAAAAGTTCCCTATCTTGAAAGTCCGCTTTTTAATACTTCTTCATTTCTGACTCTGTTCTTCCGTGAGTTTGTAAGCATTCGTGGATGGTACGACATTTCAAAAACTTAAGTTTGTTAATGGATCTGGCCTTTAATGTCCATGCTTCCATTCCGTACGAGAGAGCAAGCCAAACGTAACACTTTGCATCTTGGATCTCAGGTTAAAATCCAACTTGCGATCAGTCAGAAAATTATGAAGTTTCAAAAAAGCATATCTGCCTTGTTCTACTTTGCTCTTTATTTTAGTCTCAGGGACCCAACTGTCATTTAGCAGACAACCCAAGTATTTAAACTGCCCGACTTGCTCGATTTCTTCTCCAGCTGCATATATCTTTGCATTTGTGTTATAATTTCTATCTATAATAATTGGTTTTGACTTTTGACTAGAATGAAGAAAAGGTATATGAGGGGTAGTTGAGGACAAATCCGTGACGAAATATAGCGAATTTTGCTTTATTTTTGCTAACTAACAGAAAAACGAAAATAAGAGTTTTTGCAATTATTTTGGTCAAATGGTTGTGGATTTTAATCTAGAAACTTTGCAAATAAATGACTTTTCAAAATCTAGAACTTTTATTTAAACTACTTTTCTCTAAAATGCAAAGAAACATTGTATAGACCAAAAAATATGTTTTAACTTTTATTAAT